TTGAAAGAAACAAACATTCTACTCATATGGTATAAAGATATTACCAGTTGTGTCCATTTTAGATTTGATTGAAGAACTTCATTAGAGGCAATTTTGAAATTACAATATATTAAAAGAGGCTCTGTTGCTTAGATGGGAGAATCAATAAGCTGCATTGTTCAGTTTATGACAAAATTGATGTTTAGTGTTACTTTCATGAACACCCATCCTGTAAAATAGCATTTTGAATCCAGTAGTTTGTATATCGATGAATTAGATAAGGCATTGTCGAGGAAAAATATCCAACAAGATTACTAGTTTGCTCATGAAATTAGGCATACTTTAACTTGAAACAATTTGTAACACTCAAATTTTGGGGTTTGGAGATCAAAGTAATAATGATGAAAAACAAGCAATTTTAAAATATTTAAATATTTACGATTTTTGTTAGCCTTTGTTTTGTCTGTTTTATTCTCAAATAAATCATGGTCATCAATTCTATTGTGACATAATCATCATTTACCAATTTTAAAATTAAATATTACTGGTTAGAGAATGTGATTTCTTACTTTAGGTTATATTTATATCCCGATTTATATGTATAATAATAATTGATGAAGACGAATAGAGATTATCCTCTATGAGGTTCAGCGTATTAGAATTATCCCGAGGCCAATATAATATATCTGGCCGAGGGTCGTAGGTCCCGAGGGAAGATATTTTCTATTGGCCAAAGGCCTTAGGTCCTGGGGGAAAATATATTATATTCGCCAAGGGATAATCCTAATAGCATGAACTGACTATAGGATTATCTGTTTATCCCATATCAATCTTTCTTATCTGGTTCACATTGTTAAATTGGCCAGAGTTAGAAAGAATACAACCACATAAATGTATTCATGACTAATTTTGTTTTCTTGGCCTTAGGAGGATTCTCCTGTTTTTTAAGTATTCATCCACATATTCTCGAATCATTGATTATTAACGTATTAAGTATGCTACTTCCCTCATTGCTAATCATACACAAATGATGGTTATGACTTAGTGGGCAGGTGTAATATATCTGCCCTCTCAGGCAGGGACATTAGCTATATCTGCCCGCTGATGAAAATATAAGTATTTATAAACCTGCTATACAAGGGCCGAGCAATATATTCGCTACTTTTTGCTCTCAAATTGTTAATAATAAAGTATCTTACCTGAAAATTTCCAGAATAATAGAAAAAACATTTTTCTGTAATATCCCCAAATGTGCATTTATTTGGTTACATCCGTAATATTTTACATGGCATTGAATATTGGTTGATAGTGACCACCGGAGCTGACATTTGTGACAATGTTTCAGAAAACAACTTTTATACAAAATGTCCTTTTTGTTAATTAAGACAGTTACTCCTCATTCCATGCCTCATTCTCAAAATAGTGTCCATCTGCAGCTATGCATTTTCTACATCGGGAAAGCCAGTCTTGATAGGCCTGTTGCAGTCCGTTTCCATTTCCATATAGGTCTTTTAGGGCCTTATGGACGGCCTCAACCACTTCTTCACGGTCACCAAACCTCTGCCCACGTAGCTCATTCTTCAGTTTGCCGAAAATTTCAAAGTCGCACAATGCAAGGTCTGGACTGTATGGTGCATGATCAAATTTCTCAATGTTTAGAGCTGCTAATATATCAGTTACCTCACGGGCCCTGTGTGATGGAGCATTATCTTGATGATATATCATATGGTTGATCAATACTGGGCGCTTTTTACGAACTGCATCCATGAAGTTCTTTCGCAAGACCTGCAACTCAGGAAGCAGAGTCTCCCTTTTGTGATGCATATGCGGATCAATTGTGACCTCTTTATTATTTGAAAAGAACATCTATGACATCACAACCATTGTTCTGAATATTGGATCAATGTCCAGTAAACAATGTTTATAAAAATTACCCAAACTGAATGTTTTTGTTATGAGAAATGGGCATATAAAGATATTGTTGCATGTGCAATTGCAGTAAAATTATGGGCAGCTCTGGAAGCTCATACCTTCCGTTGCTATGACAACCATAATTTTTTGCCATATTTGGCAATGGGCTTGAAAATGGAATCAAAAGATGCGGAAATCTACACTCTATGTCTGTACCAAATTTCAATGGAAATAAACAAATATAAAAGAAAATAAAGCAAAAAGTAGCGAATATATTGCTCGGCCCTTGTATGTATCTGAAACATATCCAAGTATGGGACAAATGTATCTACTTTTTTTGATTGCATACACTAAACAGATTTGTTTAGGAATTATATGAAGTATTTCAAAAACATATACCGAACCACTATTGAAGGATCTAGGAATCATTGAAAATACAGCATATCAGAAACATGTGTAAATTGTTTATCTTGCAATTATTTTGCTAAATACTAATAGAAATTATACTGTACCTTCCAGAGAATAGCTTTTTTGTTAACTATGAGCCAATGAATGAATGGATGCATTTTATTATAACTGCAAAATGATGCTCTATGCAATTCATACGAAAAATAAATTTTGCCATATTAGAATCAAGTATAATCTTTAATCCATTGGATAGATCATGCATTGACTGATGTTGAGGTATTGATAAAAGAAGTGTCAAAATAGATTTTAGTGTTATGTATTAGGCAAAATGTTAGGAAGGGTATAAATGGTCTCCAATCTTTCTAGTTTTGAGTATTACGTCTTCTTGCTTTGATTCAAATTATCCTCGGTCACTATTTGTAACCCCTCCCTCCTTCCCCATTTAGGCCATGGATATGAAGATGATTTAGAGGTTATGTGAAGGATACTAGGGAAGGGTTAATAGCCAGAGTTAAATTAGTTCATTTAAGTTTAATCATAAATGTTATGCAATTCACACTAGCATCAAATATCATACCAAAAGGATTGAACTGTTTATTACTTTTCAATTGCAGTAAACATGGTAAAATGGTTCTAAATATTGAACATTGTTGAACAAGCATAGATGACTTGAATAGCTCTAGATGACTTGAACGTATCCATTCATATTCTAGGAACAAGTCAATGAATAAGTAAGACTTGACTCTTGACAGGCTTAAAAGACCGAGGACCCTATAAGACTTAAACTAAAAGTTCATTTGACCATTGATGACCTATGATAGGGAAGGGTCAGGATAACACATGTATAAAATATTTAAAGTGTCTAATAATGATAATGAACATATTACAATGTTACACAACATTAGTAGATGCTAATTAAATGTCAATTATTGTTAGTGTAATCTGCATTTTTCATTTAATGCTGCAACAAGCGCACAAGTACCAAAAAGTGCCACGCCCACTTTTCCCTAAAGCAGCTATGTGTGACTATATTTGATAAATATTATTGATTTATAGGATCATTATATCAACTTTTAAGTGTTTTAATGTTAATATAGATATAATATTACACATTTTGACAAAGTAGCAGCCATAAAATCCAAACAGATTTGCAAATATTTCACTTAGAGTACAAAGGGACACATTTGGGAGGGGGTCAAATTGAGAATATTTCGAGATATAAATACTGTTTCTATGGTAACCATATAAGTTAGAGATTGGAAATTTCTGGCACTTATTAACCATAACATGCCCTACCCAATATAAAACAATGAATATCTGACATGCATTAGTATTCTTTTTATTGGGTGGTATTAAAGTACCCCCATGGTTTTTTGGGGGTAGGGGTATTAATTGGTCTGAGGGCCGTCTGCCACCCCTATAGAAAGTCCAACTACCCAGAAAGTGTCCAGTATAATCATACAGATGGTTTGAAATAGGTTGGAATGTGTAACCTTTCATGTAAGGAAGGTTGCATTTCTAGAGCACTTCTACAGAATGGCTTACAGTCTATATGAACAGAATCGCTCTGATACTTTTCAAGTTATAGCAAAAGGACCGTGAGTTGTTTGTAGAATGAATCTGGGGAGCTTTTTCATGCATCTCGCTTGTGCTTTTCATCTAAAAAAATCAATACACTTTAAAACATTTTATTGACTATAAGATTGCACCATATAATCCTAAAAAATATTTCTCATTTTCAAGGATTATCTATGGATTAACACCCAGGTATTTTTGTTATTCAAACTTCAGAGGGCTGGGAATCATTTTTACGATCGCTTATGAATTAATGCTGTTTTAAATAGGTTTCATGTATGCCAATAATTTCTCAAATTGTGTAAATGGTACCCCTCCCTTAATCCCAAGAATTTTCTCTTTGATGAATTTCCCATAGTTATCCAATGGTATAGTTCCAAGCAGATTTTGAGATAACAGGAAAGTGAATCATTAATACACCTCATTGGCCCAATAAGGTGTGATTAACTTTCCTGTTATCTCAAAATCTGCTTGGAACTATACCATTGGATAACTATGGGAAATTCATCAAAGAGAAAATTCTTGGGATAAAGGAAGAGGTACCATTTACACAATTAGAGGAATTATTGGCATCCATGAAGCCTATTTAAACCAGCATTTAATTATTCAAAAGCGATCGTAATAATGATTCCCAGCCCTCTGAAGTTTGAAAAATTACAATACCTGGGTGTTAATCAATAGATAATCCTTGAAAATGAGAAATATTTTTTAGGATTATAAAGTGCAATCTTATAGTCAATAAAATGTTTAAAAGTGTATTGATATTTTTTAGATGAAAAACACAAGCGAAATGCATGAAAAAGCTCCCCAGATTCATTCTACAAACAACTCGTGGTCCTTTGGGCCAACAGTATTTGAGTTATCGCACAGACGAACAGATGTACGTACAGAAGGATGGACAGAGTCGTTCCCTATTTTTTAGAAGATGTCTGAGTTAAATTTTCAATTGACAAGAGCATAGATAAATCAGCATAAACATCTGACATACTCAAATTAATTAAATTTGACGATTTTCTTTTTTTAGAGGCCCGATGATCCCAATGTGACTGAAAATCAATCTAATATTCAAGTTAAAATCAACCACTTAATAGTGTCATTTAAGGAATAGAACAGGCATATACATGTACCTTTCAATTGATGGTGTCTCCTGGCCGCACCTCTGTGTGTAAGATCAGAACAGTCCTGACACAGGGCAAGGCCACCCTCACAGTCGGGGCAGTAAATTACAGCCACCTTACCATCTTCTCCACAGTCCTCACAGGGTCTATCCTAAAAATACACAAATGAATATGAAAATTAATTGATTAACTTTATTTATTGAAGTTCAACTGTTTAATGAATTAAATATTTTATTCAATGTTAATGTCGCCTGTTATGGCAGTTCATGGAAACCTGATCAACGCTCTCCTCAAAGTATTTCTATTTATTCATGAACATTGCTATCAAAGTCTAGCTCTGATCTATTCTGTACAGTCTAAGTCATAAAGTGCCAAATGACGACCTGAAATATGCTGATGCCACCCAGGGTGTGTCATATTGTATTGTATTTTGTTTATTACCAATGAAGGTGAGCAATACCTCTTGGGTATATCCTGTATATATATGGTCGCAATTTATATACTTAGCCTAGAGGAAAGACCAAGAAACCCCTCCTTGAAGGAGCCCTGTGTTCTTTTATGTGCAATGTACATAGATTTACAAGTACACACCACAGCCTTTTGTACAAGCTGTGGACCACTTCAAACACCTTGGAGTACTTTACGCAAACAGGCAAATTAAGTCTTGCCTGAACTTTGGATTGAATCCGGGACCTAATGTGTAAGAGGTACATGCACTACCTCTGAGCTATAGGTCAGTGGACTGAATGAAGACTTCAGACTTACTGGTTTAGTCTGAGTAACAAAGATGTTATATTATAACATCTGATATTATAAAGGACTTAATCACTAAACTTAATGCTTTGTATAATATTCACAAGTGGATTGTTGCTTCCATATATCAAGATTGAAGGTGCAAAAACAAGTCCAGATATGTTAACCAGTATTCTGATTGGATGGGATTTATCATGCCTAGCTTAGTTATGTGTGAATATTTTCAAAGGCATGTTAAATGCTCATCTCAAGAATTACTGAAATTCCACAAGAAAAATTAAGAACAAAATAAAGAGCCATACGTAGTGTCAATTGCTTCAGAAAACCCTAATGTTGGATATTTTGAAGATTTATCTTGTTTTACCTAATATCCATTGTTCTCCAATATTGGGAAAATATCAAATATTTTATTTTGGTTTCAGTTGATTATTAGTTCACAAAAGAATAGCTCCATATTACCTCTTTCAAAATAAGAAAAATCAAAATAAAATGTATTTTTGACCACTTTAACTGTATTTTATTCAAATTTAACAAGTTTCCAAAATTTGAAACATCACCATTATGTGGAGCCAAATATATACTATAGGAAATTCGATCTCTTCCAACTTAATATTAAATTAAGATAAACAAAGCAATTGTGTATATATTTACTGATGAAGTTGCAAGTGTAAAAAAAGTCATAATTATATTACAAGAAATATTGAAAATTTTATGATGCTTACTGGTGACAAAGATTTAATGCAGATTATAAAATAACTTTAATGTCTAAAACTGAAATTTCACTAGACTCTAAGGAAGCTTTACTGAGGAACATACAGATGGATTGATTCACTATATATCCCTATTAAACTTAAATTATCGGGATAATAAAGGTACTAGTATGCATTGGAAATGATGTGAAAGAATTAAAGAAAGATCAACTTAGGCAAATTATTTGATGAAACACTTTTATTAAATGACACATCAAATCAATACATATAAATTGTTTCTCTCTTTACTTTGGATCATATATCCATCAAATGCATTTGGACCTTAGTCATCTTAAGGTTGTGGGGTTGTTGGTTTGCCTAATTTTCAGGAAGAAGACACACAGCTCCAGGACCTAGAAAAAATAAATGTCCTATAATGACCAAAGAACTCTAAGAATACTATCGTTACAAAATAATGAAGGATTTAATTGATTCCCTCAGATTAAATGTACTACTGTACATTCTAATGCAGGTGCGACCCAGACACATTATCTTTCTGTGCTTTGTAAAAATACTTCTCTGCAATTTTTTCATCTTTAAGAGTAAATGAGTAAAATTGATATCCATACCTTGGGTACAGAATTGTGTAGTGAAATGCAAGGCAGCATATTCCAAATGTTCCTTAAGGTATTGTCCTCCACCTTTGTTGAAGTCAAGAATTGTGCAATTAATTGGCTCGCTTGCTAGGTATATCCATTCTCTCTCATATCCATCAGTTCTGTTGCTTTTATTTGGCAAACCTTTTTAAAACAAATGCATGTTAGTGTTAATCAGTGAAGAGTTGTATATAAAGATATAAATATAAGTATTTGATAATGTCTGTTTAAAATATCACATATTAAAAGATAATTTAATGACTGAAATAACTAGAATGTTCTTCTTGTGATTGTACACTGGTCCAACAAAGGAATCAACTTAATCATTAATGAACTAATATCACTATTTTTAATATAATAAGTAAACAGCAATTGAACAAGACATACCAAGCATATAGATTTCTCCCCCATCATCCTTAATCGCATTTGCAGCATCTATTGTAGCGGGACCAGTGTACACACTCCTGGATGGATATTTCCAAGTTCTACCATCTGTTCCAACTAAGGCAATTTTGCGCACAAGTAAATCTGGTCTACCAAATTGGTTAAATTGTCTTTTGGCTTCAATTAATGCCTCGTCTGTGTGTGTGTATTTGTCTGTTGTTCTTGGGATTGCAGCAATAATATCAATTAGTTGTGTCTGATTATGAAAGCCAAGGTTTGCATGAATAAAAATTCTTCTATTGTAAGATATGATAGCAAAGCGCAGACCAGGGTCAGTAGAAAGTGTTGCAGGGTCGTGAGGGTCAAGTATGTGCTCTTGTGCAGCAATAAAGTCACTATAAAATTCCAGGACAATATTGATGTTTTCAGGTGTGATGCTGTTAGAACGGTCAATCACCAAAACAATGTCAGCATTACAACAGATCCCTAAAGAAAAAAATGAGAGAAAAGAATAAAGAATGTAAAATGTTGGAAACATTCGTCTCAAAAATAGCATTTAAATGTGCCCCTCACATTGCTTATTTCATAATCTGGAACAAGAATTATGATACCTAATAAAATATGAAAGTTGGAGATTTAAGATGCAGAAATGTTATTAAAATTGAAAGGGACCTTTTTGCAAAATCAAAAGAGAATCATGGAATATCAAAAAATTACAGTCAGAACTACTGGCATGACATGCAATGTTGTGATTGTTAAAATATACCGTAAAATTGATTTTTTTAGAAAGCTTCTCTCATATTGTCATTATTTTCTGCTTGAAAAAGTACATGTATAACATTCTAATAACCATGTTAATATTTTTTTTTGATTTCCGTTATGTTTGCAAACATTTTCAACTTACTACAACTTTCATCTAATTCCGCCTGAATTACTGGAATATTCGTCTCGTATGGATTTGTATGTAGATTTTTAACTTCAACCTTAACAAAATCTGCCATAGATGATGGTGTATATTCTAATAAGGGCCATTCATCAGATTCAACATAATTTTGTTCACAATCTGGTATCTTAAAGGGTCTAACTGCTGTGTAGTTGCAATCCCTTCTTATATTCAGTATGGCTTGTATTGTATCTTGTCGGTACTTGTATCCCACATCATACTTATCGCTCCAACTCAGTCCATCAGTGAAAGTTACAATAACATCTGGCACCCATTCTCTGTTGTTATTCTCATTGTTGACTTTCAGTAGTTCCTTGCATTTACTCAGAGCCTCTTGTGTCCTTGCTTTGCAGTCATCACATGTTTCACCTCCAACTATGAGGTCTCTTGGTAGGCTGCTGGCAGTGGATGACCAATTTATTATCTGTTTTGCATCCTTGCTGTATGTGACAACCATGTAGGAGCTATCGTTACCAACAGATCCAATGATTTTGTTTATATCTGATGTTATTCCATCAAGGAGGATTAATGTCTCACCACAAGTACACCTGCATGATATCTGCACAATGAAGCAGAGATCGACAGGCCCTAAAACAAAATAAAAGATGCTTCGTGCTTAAGATGTAATTAGAAAGCAATAAATTAAATTTAACCATTTTTAATGTAATATTTTGATTTGATAACAAGACTATACAGTATTCATGTTTTGTTTTTTGCATGCAAATTTTTTCCTGTGATTTCCATTAAAAATTTACTTAATGTATGTACTAAAAGGGGTTTGTGAACTGTTTGTGTATACATAGATGTCAAAAAGGAGAAGATCAAAAATTATTACATAATTTAGTAAAAAGAGAAACAAATATCCAATATTCCAAATGATGATCCACTAGATTTATCAAATGGTGAGAAATCAACTCATAAAGTCACCTCACATTGTCCATAAAAGACAATACTTCACAAAATTATCTCGCAGTAAATATAAAAAATAAATTTATTATTACAACTAACCTTCACGTTCTTCACATTCTGGTCTTTGTTCTTTGTAATCTGTGATATCCAGACATTTCTTATCAAATGATGCTGCAACTTTATCAAAATCAACTCCACTACTTAGTGCATCAAAACCTCTTCCCGGTTGTTTACTTTTCAAGAACCTTTTAATTTCACCTGGATTAGTACGCGTTTTTTTTGGTTCAAATATTAAATCAAGCCAGGCTTCCTCAGCAATTTGGCCATAGTAGTCTCTAATAGACCCAAAGCCAACTGCATCTGAACCAGGCACTCCAATAAGCAGAGCCAAAACAGCAAATGTTACGGCTAACTTCATGTTCACCTAAAAGAACATAAACTGTTTTATCCATTGAGGTCTTTGAATGGAATAAAACCATGTAATCTTTGTTACTTACTGTGTCTTAATATAATACCCTAAGAAGTTGAGCATTAATAATGACTTACCTCCCTGCTATCTAATAAAATAACAGTAAGTATAAATGTATTTATATAGTTCCAATAACTCATTACATTTAAAAGCATGCATGTTAGTTGAAAATGATATCCATTAATATTCAAAAATGTACAAGGAAAAGATTTTAATGTTTAGTAATAATACCAAGAGATAAATGTATTATTTAAGATTATTGACTCCATTACCATATCAGATTTTTTTGCAATTTAAAAAGGGATGTTGCGATACAAAAGCACAATCAAGACCCCCTTGATTTTGTTGCATGTTGAGCCATACCATGTGTTATGATTCGGTCAGTGCGTAATTATATTAATTATATATAATTACTTCATTACTTTATTATTTATATCCAATATGAATATTATCTTGCTGTATTTTTATGATTAATGACTATTTAGACCTCAGTTTGTTCTAGTACAGGGGAATCCCTACGTTACTATATTGAGCTAAAATAGAGATATATCAATGTTATTCTGACGTTACTTTCAACAACCAATCACGACTCGGAATTATGATTTGAATCTTGCTTACATAAGCATGATATCAGCAATATTCTTACTTATATTTGCACAATTTTGACATGTAATGCATTTTACCTGGTATATAAAGAGCACAGCAAAATCTGATTATTCAGTAACTTTTACTCGATAACAACAACATCAACAATTCAGTAAGTTTCTCTCACTCACAACAATGCTACATAATCGATGAAAGGAGAAACAACAAACAAGCCTGCTGAAACTCTGCTGACCGAATCGATCTCAAGGATAAGAAGAATTGGAATACAAAATAAAAAAATTAGGAAACGAATCTGAATGAGTCGTGTTAGATTAGAAGGAAGGAACCTCGCGAGTACCGAATGACCACAAGATCCCGAAATTTACAGTTACGATATGTAACACATGTATTCACCTTACTTATTCATCTACTTACCAATGAAGAAGCCCCAAATCCAACATTTCATGTGCTAATATTGCAATTGTGCTGATGGGTTGAATTATTTTCGCCGAAGTTAATTATCTGAAACTTGAAATTGTTAAATTTGTTTATCAGTATGGTCACATGACCAAAGGTTGTGAAAATTTTAAAAGAAATTAAAATTTGGCGTTGAATCTGATTGGCTGCCTGGCTCAAGGCACACGCTCAGTTTGCTACTGCTCATATGCTTGTGTCACTTTACAGGGTTTTCCCTTGATTGCCATGGTCAGACTCAATTACTCACAAAGACAATACAATATTTGAAATCTAATATAGTATAATGTTACCATATTTTGAAGAGATCTCTAAGTAATATTGAATACTTGCACTAGGCAGTCATTTTGAATTTTCTGAAGCACATTTCAGAAAAACAACACCATAAGTGTAATCTACTCTAAAATTCCTTCAAATTGAGTATAATATAACCATGCCCGGTGATCATCAAACTGGATGGAGGGGGGGGGGGGGAGAAGGTGATTTCTGCAAGAAAATTCAACAAATTTGGAAGATTTATTTTTCAAGAGAAAATTTACAACTAAATTGCCAAATGAATAGGCGCAGTGCATGGCAAAATATGTTAGATCTTCTAGTATTTTTTTAAACTGATAAGCTTCTAAGATATGAGATCTATTAAAAAAGGCGCATCATCATCAACATGCAAAAGTCAATGTTTTTGCTATAAATCAGGCAACAATGGTCTACACGACACATAATAAATAGGTATAAGGGACGTTATTATCACAACACTAATGACATTGCTCACTTTTAAGTTAGTTCCGATGCGTTATGCAAAAAATAATCGAAATAAATACATATTGGATGGAGGGGGGGGGGTGGATGGAGGGGGGGGTGGATGGAGGGGGGGGGGGGAGTTATATGTCTTTGGGATGGAACAAATTCACAAGAACTTGTGTATTTGTAAAAACTAAACTCAGTACCCCAGTAAGAAACAGGATATTATATCTCTGGAGAATGAAAAATGGGAAAATTTGGAGTTATAAGAATAAATTCAAGTAGCATGTCTTATCATGTCTTATATACACGTTACTCCCCCCCTCCATCCACACTAGCAAGTGTTGCAAAACAGAATTAAAGAAATAGCAAGGCAAAATATTTGATGAAACACTTTTATGTAATGTACAGTTCATATTGATACATATAAACTTTTTCTCTCTTTGCTTTGCAATATATATCCATCGTACAAGCATTTGCATATTAATAGCCCTCTCGGAAGTTTTGGTTTTCCCTAATTCTCAGGAAGAAGACACACAGCTCCAGGACCTTGGAAAAATATAAATATTTCATAGTGACAAAAAAATGAAAAGGCACTCAAAAATGATCAAAGAACTCAATACAAATGTTGTAAAATAACGAAGGATTTAATCCATTTTCTCAGGTTGAATGTACTGAAGAATGACTGGACTATAGTCCTGAGAATGTCCCTATAGTTTGTCTGTCTGATTACAATATGGGAAAATTTACCACTAGTTCAAACTTAAATGATCCGCTTCAATGAATTTCTGAGTATTTTAGCATTGTATTTATGTAGTTGAATCCCCAATCGTATGGGGTCATCAGCAGAACAAGGACATTTTCATTTTTTATCGAGAAATATCGCACCTCTTTTCAAGATGTCGGACGTCGGTGTGTTTTAGAAGGGAAATCCCTGTGATATCATCAGGGTCTAGAGCTGTAGAGTCTTGATATACCAATAGATGGAGGAATTTTGATGGCTGAAATAAGTTAAACAACTTGCAAAATTTTCTGCCGATCAATCCATACAATTTGGTATTCAAAAATATAATAAAAAGAACCCTAAATATCTAAGCACAAATTCCAAAGGAAAAGGACCAAAAACTAAAGAAACCTAGCAGGAAAAACAAAGTCTAGTGTATACCAGTCATAAGAAAAATAGACCCTGTATATCCCAAAACCATGATATTGACATCCAATATAAAAAATAATGTCTAACACTCCTTTCCCCCTCCAATGGAGAACCGATATCACAATCCAGGAACAGAACACAAAGGCACATTTCATTTATAGCTAAAGTCATTACATTACATGTCATGTTGAAGAAAAAATTAATAGCCAATACTCAAAACATCAAAAATGGTACTGGTACTCATAAAGGATTGAGCATTCAATCTCTAATTATGTGGGATAGACAAAATCAAGTCTCTAAGTCCATAGGCCATTGAAGTTTGTAACTTGTAAGGCATGGAAACATCTACTATGTTGTAATCAGATGAAGCAACTATAGGGACGTTGTCAGGACTATTGCTCTAGCGCCAGATAACTGTACAGAGTTCAGAGTGGTGCAAAATAATTTCATATTATATACCAGTGGATCAGAAATTGATTCATCTTTAATTTCAAAATTTCAAATTTATTATGTCTGTCAACCAGCGTCCATAATATAAATAAATGACATAATTTTCGTTTCAAAACAGGTTTCCAAAAACTTGCAAAAGCCAAGTTTTATTGTCAACTTTATTTACATAAAGAGAAGTTCAATATGTCCACCATTTTGATCAATTTTAGCCCTCAGTTTTGGCCTGAACTGGTCAATAGCATCATTGATAGTACCCCGGACAGGTTGTATGATGCAGTCATTTTTTTACTCTATATTTGCAATAGAACAACCATTCTTATTAAACTTTTCATATTTTATTCTGGAGACAATTTCCAACATGGAAAAAAAATATTTTAACGAAATTCCCAATTTTATGATTTTAACGGGCTTTTTTCAAAAACACTACACTGTCAATAAAATACAGGTTTTTGCTTGAACAATTGAACTTTTAACGTAATTTAAAATATTGTCTGGCTATTGAATTTTCGGCCGCCTAAAGTCTTTCCAGATATATCTGTTGCAATATTAATAATTATGTCTGATTATTGTTATTCACTTGAGTCATATTCAATATTATTACAGTGCATTAGGCCAATAAAAACTTGTTGCTCTGGGTCTCGTTTTGTGAAGTGTTCCCTAGATTGAGCCCAGATAGAGGAGGTCAATCTTCTTGTCAACGGACATGAGTTCAACCCGATCAAACTGTTCAATACTGTCCAAAATGAAGTAAAACATTACGAATCTCCAATTTCAAGTATTCTTGGCATTAGATCCTTCAAAGATGTTAATATAGCTGTGTCAAATGTTATCATGAAATTGTCAGGGAGACCTGACATTTTAAAAGCATGGTACAATTTACGTGCCACAGGCTTGCATGCTGAGTGATGGTGGCAGAAAAACCAAGTGGAGAAAAAGGTGCGTTTTCAGAGGAAACGTGACCCAGAGTGACAAGTTTTTTATTGGCCTAATGCACTGTAATAATATTAGGCCTATTGAATATGACAAAAATGAATAACAATAATCAGCCATAATTAATATGGCATCAAATACATCTGGAAAGACTTTAGGCGGCCAAAAATTCAGTAGCCAGACAATCTTTGAAATGACGTTAAAAGTTTAATTGTTCAAGCAATACCTGTATTTTATTGACAGTGTAGTGTTTTCGAAAAAAGCCCGTCAAAATCATAAAATTGGGAATTTCGTTAAAAAATTTTTTTTCCATGTTGGAAATTGTCTCCAGAATAATATATGAAAATTTTAATAAGAATGGTTATTCTATTGCAAATATAGACTAAAAAAACGACTGCATCATACAACCTGTCCGGGGTACTATGCTGTTGAGACAATGAATTTCACTTCTCAATAATTCTGTCCTTGAGGGACTGAATAGATGTAAATGAGATAAAATGAGTAAAATTGACAACCATACCTTGGGTACAAAATTGTGTAGTGAAATGCAAGGCAGCATATTCCAAATGTTCCTTAAGGTATTGTCCTCCACCTTTGTTGAAGTCAAGAATTGTGCAATTAATTGGCTCGCTTGCTAGGTATATCCATTCTCTCTCATATCCATCAGTTCTGTTGTTTTTATTCGGCAAACCTTATAAAACAAACAAAGGCATGTTAGTGTTCATCAGATCACCTACAAATATTTCCTAGTTTTTTGATAATGTCTCATTGAAAAGTAGCACCAGTGATCTCCCCAGGATTTTTCTCAGGTGGGTGCAAAATTCTCATTTCCACAATTCAAACAAAAATTGGTCAAAATATGCCAATTTTTTAATAATTTTTCTCATTCTAAATGGGTGCAAATGGATTTTCAGGTGGGTGCTGCGCCCACTTGCTTTAATGCTGGGGAGATCACTGAGCACTTTAAAAGATCAAATTGATAAACTAATAACTAAAACTCAAATCTACCCCTTGTGATTGTACACTGGTTTAACTAGACAACAGCAATGCCAAAGTGTAGCAAATCCAATCGCACAGCCATGGCTGGCATTTTTACAAACTAAATATATAGCAAAAATCATAAAATAACACACAAAAATGGTTGCTCACTAGCCAAATTGTCATCAGAAAGTGTAATATGCTTCTAAGTATTCACATATAAAGCTTTAACAAAATCACACACACGTACATGTAAATATCAATAAACTAATATCACCAATTTTAATACAATAATTGCGTGAACAAGACATACCAAGCATATACATTTCTCCCCCATCATCCTTAATTGCATTTGCAGCATTTATTGTAGCGGGACCAGTGTAAACATTCCTGTCTGGTGCTATCCAAGTTCTACCATCAGTTCCAACAAAGACAATTTTTCGCACATGTAAATCTGGTCTACCAAATTTGTCCAATTGTCTTTTGGCTACAATTAATGCCTCATGTGTGTGTGTGTATTTGGCTGTTGTTCTTGGAATTGCATCAATAATGTCAATCAGTTCTGCCTTATTATGAAAGCCAAGATTTGCATGAACAAAAACTCTTCTATTGTAAGATATGATAGCAAAGCGCAAACCAGCATCAGTCGGAAGTGTTGCAGGGTCATGAGGGTCAAGTATGTGCTCTTGTGCAGCAATGAAGTCACGATAAAATTCCAAGACAATATTGATGTCTTGATTTGTGATGCTGTTAGAACGATCAATCACCAAAACAATATCCGCATTACAACAGAGTCCTAAAGAAAAATAATAAAACTCTATAATTATAAAATTTTAACGACAACAACGAACAGAAAATGTAAAATGTTGGAAACATTCCTCCCAAAAATAGAATTAAAAATTTTCATTACATTCCTGACCTTATTACACAAATAGTGACTGCCATCGAGGGAAATAGTGAAAAATATTTTTCCCCCTGGGGAATATCCTGTCCACTGACATGTTCAAGAGGCTGCAGGGAACATGTCAGTGGACAGGATATTCTCCAGGTGGAAAATCTTTACCCTATTTCCAAAATATGCGGCAGTCACAATTTGTTTTATCATATACCCCATACATACTATACAAACAAAGACTGTAAAACTCTGTAAAAGAAGTCTTTTTTTTTCAACATTTAATGTTTACAGGTTCTTATTGGCATTTAAGGCATTTTGCCTTTCAACTCCTATAATCTTACCTATCAGGGAAGATAAAACATACTAATAACTGACCTAACTGGTGATAAGTACATTTCATCTTCCCTGATACCAATAATTAAGGACTTTCCAGGGAATCATCATTCATCTATTTCATATCATGTGACCATGAATAAGCCAATGAGCATCTACATATGAGGTATATAATAATTCATAATATGAAACAGGAATTGAGATATGTAATCAATTATGAAAGTTATTGGAGATGCAGAAATGTTATCAAAATTAAAACCAAATGATTATCATGGAATATTACATGATATTACAGTCAGAACAACTGGCTTGATGTGCAATTTGCGAGCAAAAATATTGTTAGATGATTGTTGCCATTGTTGTTCCTTTAAAAAAAGTATAACAGACTTATCTTATTTTTTGATTTGCCTTATGTTTGCCAAAATGTAACTGCAACTTACTGCAACTTTCGTCTAATTCTGCCTGAATCACTGGAATATTTGTCTCATAAGGATTTGTATGTAGATTTTTAACTTCAACCTTAACAAAATCTGCCATAGATGCTGGTGTATATTCTAATAAGGACCATTCATCAGATTCAAAATAATTTTGTTCACAATCTGGTATCTTAAAGGGTCTAACTGCTGTGTAGTTGCAATCCCTTCTTATATTCAGTATGGCTTGTATTGTATCTTGTCGGTAGTTGTATCCCACATCATACTTATCGCTCCAACTCAGTCCATCAGTGAAGGTTACAATGACATCTGGCACCCATTCTCTGTTGTTATTCTCATTGTTGACTTTCAGTAGTTCCTTGCATTTACTCAGAGCCTCTTGTGTCCTAGCTTTGCAGTCATCACATGTTTCACCTCCAACTATGAGGTCTCTTGGTAGGCTGCTGGCAGTGGATGACCAGTTTATTATCTGTTTGGCATCCTTGCTGTATGTGACAACCATGTAGGAGCTATCGTTACCAACAGTTCGGATGATTTTGTTTATATCTGATGTTATTCCATCAAGGAGGATTAATGTCTCACCACAAGTGCACCTGCATGATATCTGCACAATGAAGCAAATATCAACAGGCCCTATAGCAAAAAATAAAGAATGATTTGTGTTTAAGATGTTATTGGAATTCACAAAAACAATAGATAGCAATCAGTTCACCCTATGCAGACAGAGCCTGTGGGAAATATTGGGTGGGGAGCAAATGAGTGGAGGGTGCGGAGCTAACGGTCATTTTTGAATTTAAATTTGGGATATTTCTGGAACTAAGCCGGTTTTGGGACTTCAAATATACCAAGATATGTGTATTTGACACCAAATATCAATACAATTGTGAAAATAGTAGCGCAATTCATTCTATAGCGATGCAGTGTACCTTAAACCTTTCCCAGACCTATATATTTTGAAATTATCCTTTTAATACTGAGTCCCCAGCATTCATAAAAAATGGTGTTCAAGGTACACTATCTATACAAATTATTTTTGCATCTTGGAAGCCAGGCAGTATCAGTGTGATTTTATAAAAATTCGGAAATGTTTTTCAGATATGAGCCCCCTCTAAATATTGGGTGTGGAGCAGCTCCATAAACGTAGCTCCGCACCCAATATTTAGAGGGGGCTCATATCTGAAGAACATTTCCGAATTTTTATAAAATCACACAGATACTGCCTGGCTTCCAAGATGCAAAAATAATTTGCATGGGTAGTGTATCTTGAACATCATTTTTTATGAATGCTGGGGACGCAGTATTAAAAGGATAGTCTCAAAATATATAGGTCTGGGAAATGTTTAAAGCATACTGCGTCGCTATAAAATGAATTGCACTACTATTTTCACAATTTTATTGATATTTGGTGTCAAATACACATATCTTGGTATATCTGAAGTCCCAAAACGGCTTAGTTTCAGAAATACCCCAATTCTAAATTCAAAAATGACCGTTAGCTCCGCACCCTCCGCTCATTTGCGCCGCACCCAATATTTCCCATAGGCTCTGTCTGCATAGGGTGCAGTTAAACCATTTTTAATTTGTCATTCAGGGTAAGCCAAAAAGGCAACTCAAACAAATCTTAATAACTCAGTCATCCACTATGGACTTTAACATTTAAAGACATTTTAAAATCAATTTATAATTACAAAGCATTAACATGACAAAATGTCACCACCTTAGTTGCTCACAATATCATGAGTTCTGAATCTTAAGTCAGATTTGAACTTGTGGATGATTTTGAAAAAATAAATTGGTCAATTTGAAGCAAGATGAAAAAAGACCTTTTTGACCTTAAGAAGGTCATTGAAGGTCAACTTTTTTTTACCTTGAGAATGTCATTGAAGGTCAAATTTATAATCAGGTCTAAACTTGAGAACGTGTAGATGATTTTTAAAATGTTGGTCAATTTGAAGCATGTTGAAGAATACCTTTTTGACCTCTTATTGACCTTGAGAAGGTCATTGAAGGTAAAATCTCAAGTCAGATTTGATAACTTGTAGATGATTTTGAAAAAGAGGTCAATTTGAAGCAAGTCGAAAAAAGACATTTTTGACAGATTTGAACTTCTGAAACTTGTAAATGATTAAAAAAAGTGAAGTCAGTCTAAACAGTATTTGTTAAGTTATTGGAAGCTGTAAGAATTTGTTACAGACAGGACCACTAACCAGCGATCGCCAACCACCAACCGATGTAAAAAAACAGAGACCATAACAATATGTCACCACTTTTTGGTAGTGACATAACAACTAACCTTCACGTTCTTCACATTCTGGTCTTTGTTCCTCGTAATCTGTGATATCCAGACACTTGTTATCAAATGAAGATGCAACTATATCAAAATCAACTTCATAATTGATCGGTGCATCAAAGCCTCTTCCCTTCCCCTTTCCCTTTTGTTTACTTTTAAAGAACTCTTGGATTTCATCCGAATCGGTACGAGTTTTTTTGGGTTCAAATAGTAAATCAAACCAGTCTTTCCGATTTATATTGCCATAGAACTTGCGAACAGATCCAAAGCCAACTGCATCTGAACCAGGCACTCCAATAAGCAGAGTCAAAATAGCGAATGTTACAGCTAACCTCATGTTTACCTATAAGTACATAAACTCCTTTACCCCTTAATATTAAAGTCCCCATGTAAAGTTTGAAAATATATTTCTATTATTCATTTACTGTGTGTCATGACTTTTAAAGTTATTTTAGAATTCATACACTGGTTGCCATTTGGAACTTGAGTTGTTAAAAGACTTTGTGATTGGCCTTGTGGAGGTAACTATATTTATTGCTTCCGCCGCAGCAGTCTAGGCATATTTATCGGCTAATTCATTTCCCACAATACACAAATGGCCAGGCTACCAGGAACTCCAATAGT